TCTCAACGATGGCATCAGTTTACATGAATCAACAAACAGACATATTATAAATGATCGAGTCGGATCTGGCCTAAATAGCCCCGGACTCAGAGTCCTGACGAGTCGGACGTGGCCGAGACTGGCCTTCGTATATTCCAGACTAAAGATTGAAATTATACATGACTATTTATAAGAATGTACATAATGAGTAAATAGATGACAGGTGTTGACATTAAGTGACATGAGTGAAAGATTCACGGGTATGGAGTAATTAAATAAACATAATGACTCTTTGATGTTTGGAAATGAAAAACAGATAATTACGCAATGTTGTTATAAGAGATTAGCATTTCTTGAGACATGGCACTCTGTCTTTTTGTTATAACAGATCAAAAGTCCAAAAAGTGTCAATGGTCAATTAAACAATTGGATTCGAAAAATATTGTAAGAGAAATCAAATATAACAAAAATTAGAAATTGAAAATTAAAGTCCAAAATAAAGTTCTTTCTTGAACAGTGAATTTTTCACTGTGATATAGCTATTAATTATGCATTGATGCTAGAAATTTGTACAAGTTATGTAGTTTTTCTACGTATAAGAGTAGTTTACTTTCACATTATGTTGATAATAAATTCAAAGTGCTCAGTAAATTAAAGTCTTGAACAAAAAATTTATTTTTTTAATCACTTTTTCATATGTCCTAGATAAATTGCTCGAGATTTTCAAGAATGAGGATACAGTTTTGATAACGACTAGGAATTGAATGCAGTGTGTTTATTCCTATGGTATACATGCAACCTTTCTTTTTTTTAACAATCTTTAGCTGATTTCATAAAACAATAATCATTTTTCTCCTTGAGCATAAAAGGTACATATGAAATTATTTTTTAAACATATTTCCTGAGTGAAAATACCAGCACTATATAAATAAAACAATACTAAATATAACAATAAGGCAGTTTATTTGAAAAATCACCCTGAAAAAGGAGGAATGAAGACTTCAAATACATAATATAAAAGATAAACACTGAATTTCCTCAGTACATTTTAAACTTTAAGAACTTTTGTAGAATAAAATTCTAGTTCAGCGAGAGCATTAAATTGTTAATTTGTAAATACAATGTTAATATGTGAATGGGCAAATGATGAAATTTAACCAAACCCTTGTCATATATTTGCATGTTAAAACTGTAAGTACATATACAATGCTAATTTTACATTTTCCCTTTTGAAAAAAAATAAATATGAAGCTATGACGTCGTGAGAACATAGCCATCATCATCCCATCAAGTGTGCAGTGTAATGAAACGCACATACATCGTACTGGAACCGTGAACGCTGTACTGACACGGACATCAAACCGTCATTTCCGCGACAATTTTGTTTCAACGCTGTGTCTCCATATAGATCTACGAACTGGCCGGTTGCTTCTGTATTTAAATGATGCTAATTAATTTAATGCAGCATGTACGGTGTTTTAACAACGCCCCCTCCCTCTTGCAGAAATTCCCCAGGGAAGATTTGCTATATAGCAAAACTTACAATATAGCAGATCCGCCTATATGAAAGAAATGCTGTATATGCAATCCCCCTAGAAATGTATGCTAGTACAACCTCCTCTCTTTATTTTTTGTAATTTCTTCCCCCTGGAACATTAGCGATATAGTAGACCCCCCTAATGTTTTTGTGTACATGAGTAAAATGAATTGTTTATTATGATCTAATGCGTGTGTAACTGGCAACTGACATCATAATTTTGATTGACTGTTGGAATTTCTCATTATTATAAATTATGAAAATCTAAATTAAACAATTAAAGAATTAAAAAAATTTAAAAGAGGGTGTTGCAGTTCTTTTGTTATTTTCCCTAAAGCTGTAGCAGTTTAAAAGAAAAATTTTAAGTAACAGAAAACGGTCTTAATTTTTTTCAGATACAACAGTATATACAGCACAATGTAGAACAGTATTTGCAAAATGCATATCGACTACCAATTTGCCATTAAAAGAAGTGTAAATTAGTCACATAGCAAAATAAGTCAAGTTTTCTGTTTTTCAAATAGGGAATCCCCATTGTTCTGAAAAACTGCCTCTTTGAAACAGAATGAATTTGATACACACATAAAGAGACAGGAATTTTCTTCAAAACTGCCATTTCCGATTTTTGTTTCAAAGAGGCATATTTTTGAAAATCACAAAAATCGAAGAAAAATTATTATCCACCCGAAATGAAAAGTGTGTACATAAAATAGCACACTATACTTCAGTGTCGGAGCTGGTCTAGTGGTAAAGCGTGTGGACTGTGCTCAAAGATTCTTTTTACCTGAGAATGGGTTCGAATCCTGGAATGGCTGGTATATACATTTTTTTTCTTACAAACTATAATGGAAGTACAATGTAACAACTCTCTTGAGAGATAAAGACAGAGGGAGAGAATGTCAGAGAGTTAATGGGTAATATTTTAAATATAAATGCAAAATTAAATTGTTTTCTTTGATATTGTGTCTAAAACTAATAAGACATACATTTAATGTTACTATTTAGTGGCAATGTCTTAAAAAATAAAGTACTATCTCTTAAAATAATTTAATTTATTCATATTCATTTCGTTTCATTATTGTTCTGTTAATTAGTGGCTCAGATTTGACTTGAAACAACTAAATTGAAATGACTCAATGGAATTTCTTGGATATTGCATCAATAGCGTAATTATTGGACACATTTGTATATAGTGAAAAATATTAACGCACGCTTTTTACAGTATATCTTTCAAAATGATGTGCGAGTCTATTTAGGAAAAAACTATGCATGATATTAACATAAAATGTGAAATGTTTCGTTATAACAAGCTGGACATACCCGCTGTATAAATAAAGCCATCTACGTAGCATTAACTATATTTAGAGATAACTCTTCATGCGTCGTGGGTATTTAAATGACCTTCTCGATTTAGGGAATAATCACGAGTTTCTGCAACACCCTCAAAGTTTAAAGACAGAAATCGCAACTTTACCCATTTAACATGTTTAATGGCACATTGCACATTGAAAATTAGAATCGATAATAATAAATGTAGGAAGGCCTGTCATGCGGATTAATTTTGTTCATATAACAAAACTTCAACAACTGGGGGAAAAATTGTTACACTGTATGTAGCGATTTATCGGGGATGGTGTGGGACTCTTTGCTATGGGGGCGTTCTGCTCTACAACAGAGGCACCTTTGCGTTAGTGTACGTTATCAATGCGCTTTATAACTTTCCGCAGCCAACCGCAGAAATTTTTCCCGCGGATCCTGGGGTTGCAGACGATTCCCTGCAGACCAATCTGTGGTCTCTTTCCTATTCCATGTATTCCATACGGTTTGAACAACGACACATTAAATCGCAGAGCAATGCGCATATTTGAGAAGGGGGTATTACACAGATTGTAATGTATAAAATAACATACATGTAATAAAATAATCTGAAAAGGGGGACATTAAAACTTCTGCTCAAACCTGAATGCAATTTTCTCTATTTTTCTCCACGCTGAACCCAACATGTGTGCAGGGATGTTGATAAAAATCGTCTGCTCAAGCTAAAGTGACACTTGCTGTACTGCCTGTTTCTTTCATTCGGAACTTCACTATCCCCATCATGACTTTATTATCTTCTTCCTCGAGCTCGAGGTTCTTACTAAAGTTTTCTTTCTGTTATATTTTTCAGTGGAATTTTAATAAGTTCTAGCACATCTTTAAACATTTTTACAATGTCAAAATGAATTCCACGAATTCCAGCAGATCTTTAAAGGTTCTTGACCGAACACCCAACTTAAGAGCAGATCCAACTCCAGGATAAAGTGTACGTAGCATACATAATATACTGATTTATTTCAACGAGTTCAGAATTGTACATGTGCTTTAACTCTATTTAAAATATTTGTGATTCGTGATTTGCACCCCCCCCCCCCTTGTTAAACTTAAAACCACTCATCATGGTATGGTAAATCGGGGAAAAGATGAAACCCCTGTTTGTTTGCAGATTTTGGAAATAATTTCTCCTTGAAAATGTTGAAAATAAATTAATGTGCATCCTTCTAGAGAAGAAAATAAATAATTTGACCTTGACAGATGATTTATTTCCCCCTTTCTCTCATGAAAAGAGTTTTTCGAATTTGGGCAGATTATTTTTTAAATAAATAATCTGTAATCTTGGAAATTAATATTCTGTCCTGTGAGAACATGGAAATAAAAAAAATCTGACTGGACAAAATTTGCCCCCCCCCTCCCAAATAAATGGTCGTCCACTTATTCTAGGCCTAGCGTACTCTATACGTTCTATCACTACTCATTCCAAAGGCGTCGGAACCGGGGGGGGGGGGGGGGCAAAGATAGACATAATATAGGCATTGAAAATTGGGGCTTACATTTTCTCGTTGGTTTAGCGCCCCCCCCCTTCAATTAGCCACCCCACTTTCACTTTGCTTCCGACGCCTATGCATTCAATTCCACCTTTCAAACGTTTTTCCCCTTCTAAGATGTTGATTCACAGTGTTTCTGTACAAAATAACAGGTGGTCCTCACTTATTCACTCTTTCTTAAGAAGCCAACATTGTTAATTATCTATATTTGTCCTAGTCAATCTTAACCATCATCATACCTAATAGATGTCATGTTTACACATGTATAATCTTATAAATTATTCTGAAAATCCCAAAGTATCTCAGCACAATAAAACAATTATTTCTCCAGTGCATGCATGTGCTGCGAATGAAAACCACTATAATGACACCAATTCAAAATGTGATTATCCCATTGTTCTTTTTTTCCTTTTTTCTATTTGACATTTGGGTGTGCATGATTTATATGTTATTTGATATAAATCAACAATCTAAACATACATGTATGTATTTTTTAGGAAGATACTAGTATTCAGAAATGTCAGCAAATCCCACTTCTCAATACCAGCCTGTAACAAAAGATGAAATCCATGATCTGCATTTTTTTAATACTCTAAAAGTATCTCATTAAAAAGAGTCACATTCACATAATGAATTTGTATTTACTTATTCATTAGACAGTTTTGTTCTTGGAGAGATAAAAATATACATTTGAATAATATCACATAAGAATAATGATTTAAACATGTTAAAATGTTAATAACATGAATATACATCTAAATAAAATAAATTACTTCAATTCCAATGAAAAAAAATGCCTATAGAAGGTACATGTGTAGTAAGGCCAAAAAAAAAAATAATAGTCTTGTTTCCTGCTACCTGTCTGAAAAAAATAGGGTAGGTAGGAAGGAAAATTATTTTATTTTATATTTTTATTTTATTTTTTTCCGACAGCATTTTTTGGATATGAACTAGTATAAGATCAAATTAAACATGTCACAGGTCAATATTGTTTTTTAAAAATTAAATTTCATGTCTTTTTGTGCACAACTCAAGTGGTATTTTATGAAAGTCCATATTTAAAACCAGAATTTCATGAAATGCTGTTTTGTGTTAACACGGAAAGTGACAGAACGATGAAATCCTGGAAATTCCAGATTTTTTTTTCTTCCAAAACTTAAAAAAAACTTTAGGGTCCGGTGCAAAAAAATAGGGTAGGTCAGGTAGCAGGAAACAAGACTATTATTTTTTTTGGCCTAAGTTAACAGGGAACTGTAAACAGCATGTGAAAATCAAGATCTAGAGGCCATGGTCCACACCCCTCACCTGTGTGTCATATTAACCTCTCCCTATTAAATGAAGAAGTATGAATGCTAACCCCCTGATTCCCACCTACTTTTTACACATCATAATTCAAGATATTTAATTTGGCATATTTGCTTTTAATTTTTTTCAATGAAATGTAGACTTCATTACTGTTTGATTAATAAGTCTATATCTGCAGTTTTGGGGTTTAAAAACAAACTAGATTTAAAATACCAATGTTAATTCATAAATTGCTTTTAAATAAAACTCTTTTAAACAAAGGGTGTAAAATTATTGAAATAAAGCTTTGAAACATAACTGGATTTTGAAGTACTCATGTATGCAAATCATAGGCATCTTAATCTTATTCTTTCAGTTTCATAAACTTTATTAAGGAATAACTGTCTAATTTTTGGTTTTATGATGTGATCAAGCAATTGGTTTGCATGATAATTTGCATAAACACTGAAGGCTTTATCATCATCATAAAACCAAAAAATCTGACAGTTATTCATTATATTTACATGCTCAGCCTACTTCTCTCCATCTCTTTCTCTTTCCCGCCCTGCATGTAATTTTTTTAAACCACGCCTATCGAAGAACCAGTAGCTTTATGTAGAAATCAAGTATTTTTATTATTTGTGGTTTTATCTTGGACAATGAAATTTAAAGATGTAAATATGTTAAATTTACTATATTTGATTTATTTAGTGAAAGTTTATAGTTCTACATAATTTGAAATTGGCCATAAAATGACCAAATTTTGGTCTGTAAACTCATTCCCCCTTCCACAAAACCAAGGAAGTTTAGGTATGAATTTGCTAAATGAATAATAATTTATAATACCTGTAAAAATTATTTCTTGTTTCAAAGGGGGGAGGGGGGGGGGGGTCTTATAAAGTGAAATCCTTGAGTATTTACCAAAAATATAGAGTTATCTCTCTTTCTTTCATAATCCAAATTTCAAGAAAATTGATATGAATATCTATTTAAATTCAAAATTTAATTGAATTATAACTTTTCATAATTTGACAAGAAGTAGGGGGTGAAACAATACAATTGTTCACAGCCCTTAGCAATGAGACCTCGGTAACAAACGTTAACGATAAAATGCGGCTTAATGATAAAAATATCATTAAGCATTGCAATGCAATGCTTAATGTCATATATTATTGCATTAATAGTTGACATGCCCATACGCTTAATTATATTACTCTTTCATTAAGCGGCAATTTAGCATTAGTGGTTGAAAGTGTCAACAATTAATGCAATATTTTATGGCATTAAGCGTACGTTGCAACTGCAACGCTTAATGACATTTCTATCATTGAGCAGCCTTTTATCATTAGCAGTTGCTACAGACCTCTTTTAACACAAACTGAGTGGGCCTTATACAGGTATATTAAAGACTGCACACATGCACTGATTTCACATGTCATAATGTATACTTGCTCCATCTACCAATCCTCATAATTCCTTGTTAAAATTCCTTTATCAAATGTTGAGCTTCCTGTCGTGTTCCCATCAAAACCCAAAGGGTAGGATATGAAAACTTGAATTTACAATACATTAGAAAGCTTTGAACATACTTGATACAGCAAGTTTGGTTGAAATAGTCTCAAAGGCAGTTCTAAAAAAATGAAAATAAGAAAAGCTTACAGCGGGTTGTTTCAGACACACATACAAATTTTGATCAGAAGAGCTCATTTGAGCCTCTAGCTCAGGTGAGCCAAAGTGTTGAGAAATGAGAGTTATATCCTCTGGCATATTCAGATCTTAACAGAATCCCTCTGCTGTCAGTTTCACATTTCCATCACTGTCAATTTCATGAGTTTGTCCACTCCCTCCACAGACTCTAATCCAGCTAGAGGCTTGGATGGTATTTTCTCCATTTCTTTCAACGTTGAATCCACCATACATCCCTGGAACAGGGTAGTAGAAGCTACCCTTCTCAAACAAATATGCGACTTGTGGGAGAGCCTGTTTATTGTCATTTATTAAACTGTCCACTCTCTCCATAATAGCTTTATGTAAGCCCTCCTCAAATTTCTTGATAGTGTTTTCTTTCTGTTTTATTTCTTGTGGGACTTTAATAAGTTCCAGTATATCTTGAGGGAGCTGTAACTTTACACCGATATCATAAGCCGTTTCCCCTGCAGAATTCTTAAGACATTTAGCCGATCCAGTTTGAAGCAATTTCTTGAAAACATCTTTGGGAGCGGATCCAAGTGCAGCATGATGAAGTGGTGTATTAAGCGTGGTCTGTACATTTTCCTCCACAAGCCTAGTAGAATTAGCTAATTCTTTGTCACCATCCACAAACTCTAGAAGTTTTTCCCATTCTTTATTCTTTCCTAGAATATCTATATTCTCCCGTAGGTTACCTATGTCTTCTCTCAGTACACCCTTTTTCACTGTTATAGGATAAGACATTTCAGTATCTGTAAAGAAAATATGATGAAAATGACTTCATAAAAACTACATGTAGTAAGTCATTTTAAACAACTCAGAAATGAATTCATTCTGGTTAGGTTTTGCTATTACCCCCCCCCCTTCCCAAAAAAGAAAAGAAAAAATGAGATGCCTTTAAGTTTTTGATTTTTAATGCATTACATCTGATCTGAACATTTCTTTACTCTACAATGTACATGGTTTTTACACTTAGGTGAAAGTGTTGCTATGAGTAATTAATTTCATGAAACTTGCATAAATTGCCATTGAAATATTAATTACTATAAGTAATTGATCCATATATAGTTCAAAATGATCTTATTATACAAGTGTTGTACAGAAATATTTTAGCTGTGAGACAGCCATTTCTAACTTAATTAATGTTCAATAGGAAGTAGATGCGTAAATTACCTCAGATATATGTATTTAATGTATACTATGAGTCTATGACTAATATCGGACTAAAACTTTGTGCTTTAACATGTTTAGCAGCCTTAACCACTGAAATAGGGATTTCATAACAAAAACAAATTATTGGTACTTAATGTAAATTTTATTTCAGACTTTGAAATTTAAACATTCAGGAGAATATTAGTAAAAACATCAACTGCTGATTTCTAGAAAAAATACTGAACTTTGGTTTTATGACCTGAAGCATAAGGTGGAAAAAATACCTTTTCTTTCAAGTAAAATTTCGATAAGAAGTCATCATCACCTTTTGATCATGCATACTAAAAAAATGAATTTTGCAGAAGTTAACTTGTCATTATTGATTGTTATCATTATAAGAACCAGTTACAGGCTTTTTATAACAATTTTCAAGTTAAGAACATGAATCATGTGAATGTTAAATAAATTAAAATATCTTATAGACAAATAATCTTACACAAATACTATACCTGACTCTATCGACACATCACATATTTGTAACTACCAACTTAGTATGAATATTGTAATAATGCTGTAATGATCATCGTTAAATATGATTAGGATGTGGGTACAGAATTATCCTGCTATTGAATAAGTAAATTGTGGGAACTGTGTATTAGTAATAAAATAAAATTCTACGCAGATGTTTCATTTTATTGATTGCATTGTAGCACTATAAAACTGGATCAGTGTTCCTAGGAAAGCATGTGTTGTCTAGAATAGCATCATTAAAGACATAAATAAATCCAAAGGGTGGCCATACCTATCAATGAAGCGATTCATTTTATCCAATGATCATAATTTTACATGGAAGACATATTAAACATTCAACACAATTTTACAGTGATGTCATAATTAATTAACTTGTTCAATCGATAGATCATTAAACTTAAAAAAAAAAAAGGCATTAATGATTTTTTGAATTTATGTTTGTACGTAAACAATGTCATTAGTAAAAATGTTCTATATCATGATTTTTTTATAAAAATATTAGATTTTTCCAGGGGTAGGAGCACAGGAGTTTGCAATTTTATCAATATCAATGATTGACCAAGCCAGGAGCTATGCATCAGCTAGTTAGATAAAATTGCGAACTCCTGGGGTAGGAGTTTACTGAGAAGATGTAATCTTTTTCATAAATGCTCTGTAACCAGCTACATACAACAGTACAAGCCTGAAATTCGTGCCCCGCCCCTTTTCGCTCTAGATATGGCAAGAAATTGGTACTGCGTTTTTAGGTGATACTTTTGTACCCTAGGGTACATCCTTATGAAATGTATGGACAGAAGGTTACAAAAAGGGTACGCTATATATTCCTACTGAAAATGAAAGAAGATTATTATTCTGTAGTGCTTTTGTAAACTAAATTATAAAAACAAAGCTGAAGCAGAGGGTACAGGGGTTACAAAGGCTACACTTGGGTAGAGATGGTTACAACACTTTTATAAAGAGATACAAGGGTTCTGAAGTCAAGCTTTTCTAAGTTAAAAAATCAAACAAGAGAGCTGAAGCACAGGGTACAGGGGTTACAAAGGGTACACTTGGGTACAGATGGTTACAACACTATTATAAAGGGATACAAGGGTTTAGAAGTCTAGTTTTTTCTAAGTTAAAATATCACACAAGAGAGGTTAAGGACAGGGTACAGGGGTTACAAAGGGTACACTAGGGTACAGATGGTTAAAACACTATTATAAAGGGATACAAGGGTTCTGAAGCCAAGATTTTCTAAGTTAAAAAATCAAACAAGAGAGCTGAAGCACAGGGTACAGGGGTTACAAAGGGTACACTTGGGTACAGATGGTTACAACACTATTAGAAAGGGATACAAAGGTTCTGAAGCCAAGATTTTCTAAGTTAAAAAATCAAACAAGAGAGCTGAAGCACAGGGTACAGGGGTTACAAAGGGTACACTTGGGTACAGATGGTTACAACACTATTATAAAGGGATACAAGGGTTTAGAAGTCTAGTTTTTTCTAAGTTAAAATATCACACAAGAGAGGTTAAGGACAGGGTACAGGGGTTACAAAGGGTACACTAGGGTACAGATGGTTAAAACACTATTATAAAGGGATACAAGGGTTCTGAAGCCAAGATTTTCTAAGTTAAAAAATCAAACAAGAGAGCTGAAGCACAGGGTACAAGGGTTACAAAGGGTACACTTGGGTACAGATGGTTACAACACTATTATAAAGGGATACAAGGGTTCTGAAGTCAAGATTTTCTAAGTTAAAAAATCAAACAAGAGAGCTGAAGCACAGGGTACAGGGGTTACAAAGGGTACACTTGGGTACAGATGGTTACAACACTATTATAAAGGGATACAAGGGTTTAGAAGCCAAGATTTTCTAAGTTAAAATATCACACAAGAGAGCTTAAGGACAGGGTACAGGGGTTACAAAGGGTACACTAGGGTACAGATGGTTACAACACTATTATAAAGGGATACAAGGGTTCTGAAGCCAAGATTTTCTAAGTTAAAAAATCAAACAAGAGAGCTGAAGCACAGGGTACAGGGGTTACAAAGGGTACACTTGGGTACAGATGGTTACAACACTATTAGAAAGGGATACAAGGGTTCTGAAGCCAAGATTTTCTAAGTTAAAAAATCAAACAAGAGAGCTGAAGCACAGGGTACAGGGGTTACAAAGGGTACACTTGGGTACAGATGGTTACAACACTATTATAAAGGGATACAAGGGTTTAAAAGTCTAGTTTTTTCTAAGTTAAAATATCACACAAGAGAGGTTAAGGACAGGGTAGAGGGGTTACAAAGGGTACACTAAGTTACAGATGGTTAAAACACTATTATAAAGGGATACAAGGGTTCTGAAGCCAAGATTTTCTAAGTTAAAAAATCAAACAAGAGAGCTGAAGCACAGGGTACAAGGGTTACAAAGGGTACACTTGGGTACAGATGGTTACAACACTATTATAAAGGGATACAAGGGTTCTGAAGCCAAGATTTTCTAAGTTAAAAAATCAAACAAGAGAGCTGAAGCACAGGGTACAGGGGTTACAAAGGGTACACTTGGGTATAGATGGTTACAACACTATTATAAAGAGATACAAGGGTTCTGAAGTCAAGATTTTCTAAGTTAAAAAATCAAACAAGAGAGCTGAAGCACAGGGTACAGGGGTTACAAAGGGTACACTTGGGTACAGATGGTTACAACACTATTATAAAGGGATACAAGGGTTTAGAAGTCTAGTTTTTTCTAAGTTAAAATATCACACAAGAGAGGTTAAGGACAGGGTACAGGGGTTACAAAGGGTACACTAGGGTACAGATGGTTAAAACACTATTATAAAGGGATACAAGGGTTCTGAAGCCAAGATTTTCTAAGTTAAAAAATCAAACAAGAGAGCTGAAGCACAGGGTACAAGGGTTACAAAGGGTACACTTGGGTACAGATGGTTACAACACTATTATAAAGGGATACAAGGGTTCTGAAGTCAAGATTTTCTAAGTTATAAAATCAAACAAGAGAGCTGAAGCACAGGGTACAGGGGTTACAAAGGGTACACTTGGGTACAGATGGTTACAACACTATTATAAAGGGATACAAGGGTTTAGAAGTCTAGTTTTTTCTAAGTTAAAATATCACACAAGAGAGGTTAAGGACAGGGTACAGGGGTTACAAAGGGTACACTAGGGTACAGATGGTTAAAACACTATTATAAAGGGATACAAGGGTTCTGAAGCCAAGATTTTCTAAGTTAAAAAATCAAACAAGAGAGCTGAAGCACAGGGTACAAGGGTTACAAAGGGTACACTTGGGTACAGATGGTTACAACACTATTATAAAGGGATACAAGGGTTCTGAAGTCAAGATTTTCTAAGTTATAAAATCAAACAAGAGAGCTGAAGCACAGGGTACAGGGGTTACAAAGGGTACACTTGGGTACAGATGGTTACAACACTATTATAAAGGGATACAAGGGTTTAGAAGCCAAGATTTTCTAAGTTAAAATATCACACAAGAGAGCTTAAGGACAGGGTACAGGGGTTACAAAGGGTACACTAGGGTACAGATGGTTACAACACTATTATAAAGGGATACAAGGGTTCTGAAGCCAAGATTTTCTAAGTTAAAAAATCAAACAAGAGAGCTAAAGCACAGGGTACAGGGGTTACAAAGGGTACACTTGGGTACAGATGGTTACAACACTATTAGAAAGGGATACAAAGGTTCTGAAGCCAAGATTTTCTAAGTTAAAAAATCAAACAAGAGAGCTGAAGCACAGGGTACAGGGGTTACAAAGGGTACACTTGGGTACAGATGGTTACAACACTATTATAAAGGGATACAAGGGTTTAGAAGTCTAGTTTTTTCTAAGTTAAAATATCACACAAGAGAGGTTAAGGACAGGGTACAGGGGTTACAAAGGGTACACTAGGGTACAGATGGTTAAAACACTATTATAAAGGGATACAAGGGTTCTGAAGCCAAGATTTTCTAAGTTAAAAAATCAAACAAGAGAGCTGAAGCACAGGGTACAAGGGTTACAAAGGGTACACTTGGGTACAGATGGTTACAACACTATTATAAAGGGATA